TGGCAAATTTTGTAACCAGTGATTCTTCCAGACTTTTCTCCGGGGGGGGGGGGGGGGGGGAAGGGGGCGCTTGATATATTTTCGGGGGTGGGGGGATGCGGACTAAAATTTCCGAGGGGACGGACACTGGTAAAGTATATATTTTGACATAAATTCTTTTTCGTTTTTTTTTTGGGGGGGGGGGGGGGGGGGGAGAGGGGGTGGAAGACATTTTTCTTCGATGGCCATTCATGAATATATTTTTTTTTTCCAATTTAATTAGAGCGACAATTTAATTTTAAAATTACTATAATAAAATAAAAAGTGGGATAACAAGAAGAAACACGAGCCAGCAATCGCTTGATCAGAGGGCCGTCCTAGGTGAACTGTCGCCTCACGGTCGGCTGATTCACGCCGCAAGTTGACCGTGAACGAACTAGGGGCAGTTAACTATCTTTTAGAGATCACAAGCAACTGATTGGGTTTTAACCCAAGTTTTTTTAACTCTTAGTTGTAGTGTCAATTTATTTCGAACGAATAGCTGAAAAGCGGAAAATAAAATAAATATAAAAAAAAACTTTATGATATCAATCTTTTAAATGCACTGAAAGCAAGGAAAATAAAACAAACTTCATTAATTAACAAAAGCTTGGTCGCTAAAATATGTAAGTATTCTTATCGACACTAAAACTTTTATTAATGAAGTTTTTTTCTTTTTAATTGCACGTAAAAGCTTGTTATTAGAAAGCTTTTTTATATTTATTTTATTTAGAATAACGACGATTTTAAACAAAATAATCATAAGTTGTTTCCCTTGAAATGGCATAACAAAATAATATTGCTACTTATAGCTATGCTGCAAAGATCGCCACTCACTATTTGACATAGACAGTTATAGCGAACCTTGAAGTTTTTACAATTAAAAAAGAAATGTTTGGGAATGAGATAAATAACTACTACTTTGTTTTAATAAAAGCACATTTTAAGTATAAAATATGGAAGCCTTACTAGTCCCACTGCCATAAAAATATCATATATATATATATATATATATATATATATATATATATATATATATATATATATATATATATATATATATATATATATGTCATATAACGGTTACAACTACTGTTCTAAAGTCTTTTTCTCAGCGTACCCAAAACCTTGCCGTGAAACTGAACGCTCCACACAAATGTAATTGAACATGACGTTTTATTCACTCCCAACTTGACCGCCGAAGACCTTAAGGAACGAATGGGGCATGAAAGCTACAAACGATGCAAGCTATTAGTGTAAAACCTTTAGTTTTTCGCGTGAAAAATTTTGGTTTTAAATTCTACGTAAACCTTTTTAACAAATTAGAATTCGCTTTTAATTACCTGAGTATCCGGGAATCAAACTGACATCATAGCATTTGAAGTGAAGTAATCTTGTCAGTCGAGTAATCTGAGGCATGACCTGGCAAGGTCAAGGCTGTTTATAATCTGATGTGAAAGCTGAGCAACTTCTGCTTTGATGAATCTAATTACCGCGCACGAGAATTTAATTTTGATAATTGCAATGTCTTTTATTTATAGTATGATACTATTTGACATGTTTTTCTGCCCATTCGCCAACGTAATCGGCTAAAAATAGCATTGTGTACAAATGTACACTCTGGTACTCTAGCGATGTGCAAATAAACAAATACAATGTACACAGTGGCTACATAGTGGCTACAACACAGGTGTACGAGTTTGTGTAGGTCAATAACTTACTTTAAAAAAAATAGGACCTTTTGCAAATGTTTGAAAGTCAAATCTAGTAGACATGATAAAACTAGTTCCGAAATTATCCCGGAAATGGCGTCCATTTTATGTCACGTGCTATCTAGACTTCTCAGACAGCCTCGATGCTGTCTGGGGTCGTCTGACAGCCTCTCTACTGTCTGGGTCACGTGACAACCACACTTCTGCCCCTCCTTATCGCTAACGGCTCATCAAACCGCCTAATCTTAAGCTCCTTTTCCGAGGGACTAAATGTCGTGCGTCCATTGAAATGGCAGCCGATAAGACAAGGCGGGAACTGGTGCTCGCGGCCCGCCCCTCTCTACCGACGGCTCCCTGTCTAAGATATTTACATAGCAATTGAATATTGACTCGACCTTTCTCTCAGCCGGGTCATTTCTTTCATCTGCTCTGGCACATTGACTAGACCATCTTCTGCCCAAAGGTCACGTTGAGCGGTCAACTTGGGCTATTGATCCCACGTTGGAGATTTTAAATCCGTTGCCCAATGACGTCAAGGCATGTATCTTTGCTCTTTACAGATATTTTTATTATTCCAAGGTAGCTCACCTTACATTATCTGCTAACCTTTGTTATCGCACTTAGACCATCCAGATTTGAACTCATTTCATTATAAACCAATTAAGTATTCATGACTAATTTGTCTTTCAGTGATAGTATTCGTTTATCTTAAGGTGATTGGTGTCATTGCTTGTGATGTTAATGATTACTTCACTTATTTTATAATACAATCAATCTGGGTCTAGAAAACGACAAATTCTCTGTAGACATGACATTTGCCCATCTTACCTGTATCAAGTTAACAGCGACAACTCAAAGTGTGAGTATCACATGGCTGGGTCCTGTGATATTATGTGACAACCAGTGACATCCCGCCATGGCATCTCACAACAAATACATCACGTGACGTGCCACTGAATGCGACAGTCAGGTGACAGTTTTGTGACAATTATGTGATTATCACGACATGCCATCAGACAACGGGACCACACTGTCTGACAACATCAGGAAAAAAAAGACTAAATTTTAGCGATTATTTTTTATAGAGGCATTTTTAAACGACTTACATCTTTAGTAGCAGAATTCAAAACGTCAGAATAGGCAGCAAACCATTTCAATTTCACAAGAAATTAGAGCATCAAACCCCAGCATTAGTGTAAGAAAATGCTTCAAATTTTAATTATTTATTTATGGGTCGAATGTTAGCCCATTTCCCCCCCCCCCCCCCCCCCCCCCCCCCTTACCCGCGTGTCTGGTGGCATGGCAGTTCCGGCGCTGAACCCCAGCAAAAGAAAGGAAACTAAAGCAGATTTTAATTAGGCGTAACAGTAAATGTTCGGCACCAACGGACAAAGAACGGCAACTCTTGTAATTTCTTTCAATTTGTTTTTACTTGAAAGCATATAAGTCGTTCCCCTTTAACCTCTTAGTAAAGATTTCACAGCGCCGTATTTATCTACAAAGTTTACTAAGACTTAGTGTGATATTAATTCAAAATGCAGTAATAATTTGGCATTTTAACTATATCTTTCCTTATTGTATGCTTTGTTTAGATATTTTCTCTAATAACTGGACGCTAAAGGAAAATGTTTAGTATGTCCACGTATTGTGTAACCCGTCCGTGTGTGGGTTTCTAAGAATGAACCTGGGTAAACTTCTCTAACAATGTCACTTACAGTCACTCATTTGATTAGTGTGACATTTTGTTTGTAGGGAAAATAAACGACTTTATAAAGGCCTACACCATGCAATAAAATATAACATTTAGACTACCCGTCATCCCTTGGATAATTGTGGGTTTCGGGGGTCATCCGTAAAAACATCATGTCTGTCACTTATCGTCACAAAAAACTAGACCCCCACATTAAAAAAAAGACGTCACACCTCAGACGTTTTTGTCTTTTAAAAACACCGATTTCGGCTGTGCATGGGTCTGACAACGCAATCTCTTCATATGCTGAAGGTCACAAAAACAGGTCAACTCTACTTCACCTGCCCAGTGTCCTCCCAATTCAGACATGATTTGTCTTTGAAAACACAGATTTCGACTGAGCATGGGTCTGACCACAGTATCCCTTCTTATGCTGAGGACAAAGAAACAGGTGAACTCTACTTCACCTGCCCTGTATTCCGCCAAGTTTCGATAGGCAACTTTATCATTCACTTTAAAAAAAGAATTGAAATTTTTTTTAACGTTGACATGATGTGTCTCGAACCCGTGCCACTCGCTTGGAAGCCTATTACACTAATACCTTTTTGTGCTCTATATTAAAAGTTATCTAGATTCTACGACTGGTTTGGTTAAGTCTAGTTTTTGCCGTAACTCTAGCTAGATCTAGAACCTAGATAGGTAAATCACTTGTATTCTTGAATTAGATTATCATTGAAGCTAAAAAGCAAAGATTTATATCAAATATTTAAGGACTAAAATAGTTTAATAAAGAAACTAAATAATTTATTTCTGATTTTAAAATTGTTTTTATTTTTAACTAAATAATTTTTGGTTTGACCTAGATTCTAGATCTATAAATAACTTCCTTCGACAGCTTTAGATTCTAGATCTAGATGTCTAGGGAAATTTATTGTATACTAAAATAGAAAGAACTGTTGAAAATTATTAGTGTTGGAACGTAATGAAAATAGCAAACGGACATATCGTTAAAGCTATAGCTATAGTTATAGCTATAGCCGACAGAAAATTACCTGCGTTAAAATTTCGAATGGAAATATTCAATGGAAGCCGCCATTAATGTTGTAAAAAGTAAATAAATAATGTGATGTCACTTTTTACTATAAGTAAAGTCGTTGTTCTGAACTTTTATAATTAATGTGGTTAATCTTCCAATGAATAAATCAATAAACTAATTAACGTCTTTAAATAAATTTGTGATTAACAATCTGTCTAAAACAGAAAATTGTTCTCTACTTACAAACTATTTTACAGCTCTACACATAGTGCAGATTCTCTCCTGTAACCAAACGGACATACACAAAAAAAATACAACACATATTCAAACATGTAAACAAACTTGAATTTTAGTAGTAGGCCTATATAGATAGATAGATTATTAAACAGACAAATAGAACAAGATCACATAGAACATAGACCTTTATTTGGTACCAACGCGAATAATAGTCTTATTATGTTTTTTTTTAATGGACTTAATTGCAATAAATGTTTTTGAAAAGAAATAGACGAAAATAAATTATTTAAGGCTAGACCTAAGATTAAGTAATTTATTTGTGTGTATGTCCAATTGTTTCGTCTTGTGTTGTCCGGGTAAACAACACAGGGCTCAGGAATCTCGTCTACACGGCACCAGGTCTGACTCGCTCAGTTCTCGTGGAGTTCCGGACTCCGATGTCCACTTTGGGTGGCTCAGGTTCCACTGGAGGCTTGTCTTGGGGCAGTGGTCGGGCGATGTGCGTGGACTCCTGGTAAATGTTGTCGTCTGTTGAGTTTGTTGACTCGTCTAGAGTGACCTCCCTTTTTCCTAGGGTAACAGCGTCCCAGTGGAAATCTGCGTTTTTTCCGATGACGTCATCAAACTTGCCGCTCAGCGTAAACTGGTACACGCCCTCGTCAGATAGTCCGCTGATTAAGCTTGATGCGGACGGGTGCGCATTGATCATGTCGCTCCACAACCAAGGTCTGGCGTTCGAGTCACTCTGACGCTTGATCGCTGTGTAAAACGGAAGCGACGCGTCACCAAACTTGTAGTTGAAGGTGGGACGGTCTCCGCTGCCTCGGTACTGGTAGTGGTAGTTGGTGTCGGGGTTGCTGGCACCGCCGCCCCAGCGCAGGAATCCAAGCAACTCCGCTGAACACCTGACCAGAATGACGGCCGTGTAGGCGACAGACTGGCGGGTCTTTGTTATGACAAAGCTCCATCTGGCTGCGGAGTTGGGTGCCAGAGTTTTTGAGGTGCTGACAGTAAACGTGTTGGTCTGCTGGTTGTTGGTCGAGTCGGTTGTGGTACTATCTGATTCGTATTTGAATTTATAAGTGGCCGCGATGCCCGCACCGCCTGTAGCTGATGGGGGCTTGTAGCTGACCTCGACACCTATCTCGTGGCTGTCCTTGAAGGTGTTGGACGTCGTGTGCGTGACGCTGCGGACACTGGTCTCCGTCCTGGTGATGGTCTTGGTGGCAGAGGTCGGGTCGTTGTTGTAGACTGTTCCAGAGTCCAGAGTTTCCGGCGTCAGCTCCTGAATAACAGGAGTTCCGTATCGTATCTCTTTGATGACGTAGCTCCAATCAGCGAACGCCATGTTTAATCTCTGATCGCTCTTGTACCCATCGCACCTTCCGCTTTTATCAGCATACCACGTGGTGTCTTGTAACCGGAAGTCCTCGCCAACATACTCCGCTCTACACCCAGAGCACCAGCCGTACCCCATGTAATGAGCGAGTAGGGCCAGGTCCGCCATGATGGTGTTCATGATGCGGGTCTTCACCTTGTAGATCTCGTCCAGTTCTTCGGGACCAGCCGCCGTCTTACAACAGCGTAACGTCTCCAGACAGTACAGCCAATCACAGTCTCCACGGTACAAGCCTACCATGTAATACCCGTCATTACACTTACAGATGTTCTGCTCATCAAAACAGTACTTGATATCGTGATCATAGCAGTGTCCATAGTAGGTTGGGTGATCGGCCGGCTTTGAACATCGCCCTTCCTCGATGTTGTGAAGCTTCCCTTTCCCTTGATCACTCCGGTACAGACCGTTAAGGAAATAACCATTCGGACACGTAGCCCAGGTGTTAGACCGGTCAAACGTCGACCACCAGTCCGCGTAGACCACCTGAGTTTTGGAACTTGACCAGGGCCAAACTCTGCTGCAGCACTCAGCCTCTTCCAGCAAGTACAGGGGGTCATCATCCCAGCCGGGGCGAGAGTTCCGGAACACGCCGGACATGAAGTCCCCGTAGCCGTTACACTTGGACAGACCAGGGTTGTCAAAACTTCCCCACCAGTTTGATCTACTGCAACCTGACTGCACTCCACAATACAAACTCACAAACACCGTCACAGCGAATAAAGACATCTCAAAGTTTTTGGTTTCTAGAGAAAAATTAGTTCAAAACTTGTTTGTAAATACACTTTTGAAATAGAGAATACAAATAAATTCATATTTGTACGCACATAGATAAAACGCCATTTTTATAACTACATAATTTCGCTTTGTAAATTTTTTGGAATTGTAATGGCATTATTAGGCAATGATTGAAATGACTGCAATGTACTAACATAAATTGCGAAAAGAACCGTAAATGATAAATATTGCAAAATTTTAGCATAAAATTCTGTTTTAAACATGTAGATCTTAGAGAAAGATGTATAATCAAATGATGTTTGAGATTCGAGTGTTTTATGTTCGATGGTTTAGTTTTGTGTTGTGTGGTTTGTTGTTTGTTGTCTGTTTATTGTGGTTTTAATATGTTGTTTGTAGTTTGTATTTTGTGTTGTGTGGTCTGCTGTTTCTGTTATGTTGTTTGTGGTTTATGTAATATTGTTTTTGGTCTGTTGTTTCTAGTCTGTTGATCGTGGTTTGTGGTAAGTTGATTGTCGTTTGTTGTATATTGTGTATGTTTTGTTGTCTGTTATTTAGGTCTGTTATTTGTGTTTTGTTGTGTGTGGTGTATGAGACACAATATAAGCCTGATAACTTTAAAGAAAACTTACCACTAAGTATGCACGCTATCACAAGCAGCACCAGAAAATGGTATCAAGCATCTGAAGACCACAGGTTAAATAGGGAAAATCGACACCGTTATTAGCGTTATTACTTCCATTGTTTAATTAGGTGTGAAATACGCTCATCCCCAAAGTATTTGTTTTGAAAATTCGAGTCAGTTATTTTGTACAACAATAGCAATAGTACAACAACCAATTTAAGATGAAATCAACTGAATAAACGGAACTACTATAAAAAAAAGTTCATAGGTAGTGCAAAAAGATATTGGTTAATGAAAAATACGCTCGCAATAAAACTGTGAAACTAGATGTAAACAAATCGTACAAAAACAGGAAATATAATGACGTTTATAGTTTACGAGCCGGCCCGCGGCATAACATACGCCGCTATTTAGTTGTTTCTAATTTTCAATAATTCATAATTTGTGAATTCGACAGTACCAACGCTGACACTGAAAATATTTCTTTAAAACACTATAAGTAGCTCGTTAAGGACCATAACCCCCCCCCCCTTCCTTCCCCCCCCCCTCCTCCCCCCCCCCCTCCTCCCCCCCCCCCCCCTACGTTTAAAATCGTTGGCTCTGCTTGTAAACATTTAGAGTGAACACAGCTCACTAAAACCATGTAGGGGTGGGGAGGTAGGGAGAGCGTTTGCAGCTTGTTTTCTAACGGCTCGAAGAAGAGAATTATATATATAGATAGTGTAAACCCCTGCATTTTCATTTAGTGTGTTTTATTTAGTGCCCTACAGTCAGAGGTCCTCGTATTGTTTGTTGCACTCAGGGGCGGAACTACCATACCGCCAGACCCCGCAATGCGGGGGGGGGGGGGGGATGGGGCAGGACGTTTAGGGGCCCAGTTCCGACCAAAAAACAATGCATTTTTTTGTCAAAAATTATGTTTTTCATACATCTTGAAAGTGGTTTTGTAAAAAAAAAAAACAACAGGTCTACTATAGCAGAGATTGTTGCGTAGAAAAATAATTTAAAATCTACAAGAGCTATAGTTTGAAAGGTAGGTAAACATTCACACTACTTCCATGACTTACTGCCCTTCTTTAAAATAGGGATGCCCACGAAGCTCATTTAAATAGTTTTGTACTATGTATATTAAAAAGCAATTAATTCTCTGAATTTTTATTTAAATAAAACGTACTATACAATAATATAGCTATAAAAATCAATGTTTTCAAAATTGATATTATAAAAGCCAAAAATGAAAAAAATAAACATAACGCGAGAAACCATTCACGAATCAAGCTAACGTCTTTATATATTTTTGACCAGCATATTTATGCTTCACTGGTAACTCGCTACCGGTTTGGACTAAATTATTTTCTGGTTTGTGCTCTCAGAATGGTTATATATTGCAATGAAATAGACTAAATTACTCAGTTAGGATATAGATTATATATATATATATATATATATATATATATATATATATATATATATATATATATATATATATATATAGGGGGCCCTAATTTTTTCTTTGCGGTGGAGCCTTTTTTTTCTACTTCCGCCACTGGTTGCACGACCCCAAAAATTGAGTTGTAGAAATTTTCAACTATTTATTTAATCTTTGCCTTAAATTTCTTTTCAATAACAGATTACTTTATCTGCCTCGTTAAACCTTATTTTTACAAAAGTGCTCCTATGTCTATATCTCTCCAAATACAGCACTCTAAATGTAATTCACAGTCCATGAGATTTTCTATCAAAGCGCTATGAAGCGGATATAGTTTTAACTTATCTAGCACGTTTATTAAAATTAACAGTACATTTTCTATTAATAGATTATATAAGGGGAAAAGTTGGTCTTTTAAAACCAACAGTACATAAAAGTACTTAGTACACAATTGACATAAGCGTAGCCTATCTGTAGCCTTCATCTATCTAACATTTTCGTGTCTCGTTCTAAAGTTGGTCCCAATTTCCGGGTAGGATTATATGGTAAGTGCGGCGGGGTGGGTTTATCAAAAATATCGGTGGCCTTGAGGTGTTCATTATGTTGTATGCCACGAGTTTCAGCACTATCATAAAGCGTACTTTGTGGCCATCTGACTGAACTTATGGCAAACAGTTGAACACTTACACAATGTGTACTTTGTGACCGTCTGACTGAACTTATGGCAAACAGTTGAACACGTACACAATGTGTACTTTGTGGCCGTCTGACTGAACTTATGGCAAACAGTTGAACACTTACACAATGTGTACTTTGTGGCCGTTTGACTGAACTTATGGCAAACAGTTGAACACTTACACAATGTGTACTTTGTGACCGTCTGACTGAACTTACAGCAAACAGTTGAACACTTACACAATGTGTACTTTGTGGCCGTCTGACTGAACTTATGGAAAACTGTTGAACACTTACACAATGTGTACTTTGTGACCGTCTAATTGAACTTATGGCAAACAGTTGAACACGTACACAATGTATAAGTTCGATTCTATTGAATTTATGGTACTATTTCAGCACTTACACAAAGTATACTTTGTGATCACCTGATTGAACTTATAGCAAATAGTTGAACACTTACACAATGTATAAGTTCGATTCTATTGAATTTATGGTACTATTTGAGCACTTACACAATGTATACTTTGTGATCACCTGATTGAACTTATGGCAAATAGTTGAACACGTACACAATGTATAAGTTCGATTCTATTGAATTTATGGTACTATTTGAGCACTTACACAATGTATACTTTGTGATCACCTGATTGAACTTATGGCAAATAGTTGAACACGTACACAATGTATAAGTTCGATTCTATTGAATTTATGGTACTATTTCAGCACTTACACAAAGTATACTTTGTGATCACCTGATTGAACTTATAGCAAATAGTTGAGCACTTACACATCTACACAATTTATGTAGTACGTTCACGGCTGATTTATATAGGGCCTGATTTCACAACTACATTGACGATGTTGAGTGTTTCACTTGTAAGTACCAGCCCAAATTTATGACCGACTTTTAAAACTGGAAAAAGACCCATGACTTTTCTCTTGCACATTAAAGCCCATCAGCGACTTGATGAAATATTAAATGACGAAGGCGTCCACGGTAAGGGCTGTTGAAAACCATTAGCTCTGAGGCTATCTGGTATATTAATTGAGTGAGAGAAAGTTTTGATTAAGGTATAATAAAGTTATTCATGGACCGACTAGGAGAAATAATGAATAGCAAAACCGTTAGTGAAAGTGCCGTTGATGCTATATATATATATATATATATATATATATATATATATATATATATATATATATATATATATATATATATATATATATATATATATATATAAATTATATATATATATATATATATATATATATATATATATATATATATATATATATATATATATATATATGGATCTGAGAATACTTGTCTGTCCCTCAATGGTTTGTGGACACTACCAATGTAAGTTTGCACTATTGGGCAACTTTTGACTGGTTTCAGTGTGTATGTGGGGGGGGGGGGGGGGGGGGGGGGTGGCGTCATTCCCCAAGACTGGTGTGCTAAAGTCAACCAGATGACTAGCTGAAGCTGAATGTTCATCTTGTAATCGATGTACTTTATAATATTACTAGCCATCGGTACCCGTTTCACGTGAATTATAGGCCTATATATTTGAAAATGTTGAATTTGTTTGAGAAAAATAATTCATAAAATAGTTATTGGTCAAAACGCAGTGTGCATTACTACACGCTGAACGATATTACTGACAAAGAAAAGAAATAACTAATTAGCTAAAAATCCGACACATTTAACATAACACAGGCATACACTGATTAAGTGACTTAAATGATTCCGTTAAAAACTCGGCTATTCCACGGTATTCTTCTTGTTATTAGGTTTTTATGAATAGATCTATAGATTTAAATGAAATAGTTCATTTCTTCATCGGTAACCATACCATATTAAATGCACTCGCTGATTAAGACACTTAAAATAGAAAGAGACTTGAAAGATTTCTTTTAAAACCCTGCTGTTCAATGGTAGTTATGTTGTTTTTAGTAGATAGTCTAAATCCAGATCTTAGCGTCTACGTCTAGTTTTTCCGTAGATCTAGTCTAGATCTAGAATCGAAAATCTAGGTCTATATCTAGAATCCAAATAGATAAAGTAAAAACTTATAAAAGTTTAGGCCGAGAAAATTGTATTGTAAACATTTCATAGCGTACGTAGAATCTAGCTCTAAATCATATGACGTCATCAGTTTCGTGCTCTTTTTTTTAGTGTAAACAATAAGCGACGTCATTGTTAAATGCGTTCTTGTCCCAAATATAAACACTTTTCCGGTTGCATAATTAAAACTGTTTTTC